CCAAAATCAATCTTTTTTGGGGGGACGGTGTCTCACTCTTGTCCCAAGCTGGAGCGCAGTGGTGTGATCTCGGCTCACTGCAGCCTCTGCCTCCTGGGCTCAAGCAATTCTCCTGCGTCAGCCTCCCAAGTAGCTGAGATTACAGGCGCCCGCCATGACGCTCAGCTAATTTTTTTTAATTTTTAGTAGAGATGGGGTTTCACCATGTTGGCCAGGCTGGTCTTGAACTTCTGATTCAGGTGATCCACCCACTTCAGCATCCCAAAGTGCTGGGATAGGTGACAGCCACTGTGCCCGGCCATGACCAAAATCTTGAACATAGCTTCAAAAGCCTGCATGATTCGGCCCCAGCCTACCTTTCTACTTCATTCTGAACTCGTATTACACATTTTCATTTTTAAAATTATGAAAATGTTTACTTATATTAAAAAAAAACAAACCCCTATACAATCAGTTTCAGTAATAAGCAAAATTATGCTACACTGCATCTCTAAAAAAAAATAGGTATATCTTATTTATTTTCACTTACTTTTATCTAGTACAGGTTAACCTAGCCTCTAGGTAAGGTTGTGAATTCAAAATCCAGCCTTGCTATTCCTTTGGATTTCTTTGTCCTGGAAATTGGGAGTAATAACAGTACATCTCTTATGTCGTTGTGAGGAATAAGTGAATTCATTGATTTAAAATGCTTAGACCAGTCAGGTGTGGTGGCTCACGCCTGTAATCCTAGCACTTTGGGAGGCTGAGGCAGGCAATCACTGAAGGTTAGGAGTTCAAGACCAGCCTGGTCAACATGGTGAAACCCCGTCTCTACGAAAAATACAATTAACTGGGCACTGGCTGAGTGCAGTGGCTCACACCTGTAATCCCAGCACTTTGGGAGGCTGAGGCGGGCGGATCACGAAGTCAGGAGATTGAGACCATCCTGGCTAACACAGTGAAACCCCGTCTCTACTAAAAATACAAAGAAAAATTTAGCCGGGCGTGGTGGCAGGTGCCTATAGTCCCAGCTACTCGGGAGGCTGAGGCTGGAGAATGGCGTGAACACAGTAGTCAGAGCTTGCAGTAAGCCGAGATCGTGCCACTGCACTCCAACCTGGGTGACAGAGGGAGACTCTGTTAAAAAAAAAAAAAAAAAAAATAGCTGGGCATGGTGGCGCGCGCCTATAATCCCAGCTACTCGGAGGCTGAGCAGGAGAATCGCTTGAACCCAGGAGGTGGAAGTTGTAGTGAGCTGAGATCGTGCCACTGCACTCCAGCCTGGGCAACAGAGTGATACTCCATCCCAAAAAAATAAAATAAGATAAAACATAAATAAAATGCTTAGACCAATGTTTGCTATCCTTAATAAATGAAGCCATTATCATTTAGAACAAATTACACATCTTCCTACCTCAGAGCCTTTGTACAGCCTACAAACACTATCCTCTCTTCCCCTTCCAGAACTTCCAGACTTCCAGTTCAAATGTTACACCTTCAGGGAAGACTTCCTTAACCTCCCCAGATTAAGCTATCTTATCTTAATATACTCCATGAACTTCTTATCTTAATATACTCTATACTTACTTGAAATGATTAATTTGTGTGGCTGATTAACATGTCTTTTCCATGACACTATAAGAAAGCTCCAGGAAGGAAGATGGCAACTGTTTGGCTGCTCTGTCACCAGCACCCAGTACAAAGTAGACGCTCAAAACATTTATTCAAAAAATAAGAACTAATTTATTTTCACCTAACTTGTTTTTGATCAAATCTTCTGTTACCATGTATAAAGCTAATTATGATTATGTAATAATATATTCTCTAACAGGTTTGAACAACTTTTTTTCAGTTAAGGGGTTAAAAACACTGGAAATTAATAACAATAATTTCTAACTTACAGAATAGTTAAACGTTTTTTACAGAGACAATTTTTTTAAAGACACGAAGGTCTTGCTTTGTGGCTCAGGCTGGATTTGAACTCCTGGGCTCAAGTGATCCTCCCACCTCAGCCTCCCAAGTAGCTGGGTTTACAGATGTGCGTCACCATGCTGAGCTCCAAGAGTACTTTCTTGCATATATAATTTTTTTTTTTGAGACGGAAGTCTCGCTCTGTCGCCCAGGCTGGAATGCAGTGGCGTGATCTCTGCTCACTGCAAGCTCCACCTCCCAGGTTCATGCCACTCTCCTGCTTCAGCCTCCCGAATAGCTGAGACCACAGGCGACCGACACCACGCCTGGCTAATTTTTTGTATTTTTTAGTAGAGATGGGGTTTCACCGTGTTAGCTAGGATGGTCTCGATCTGCTGACCTCGTGATCCGCCTGCCTCAGCCTCCCAAAGTGCTGGGATTACAGGCGTGAGCCACTGCAACCAACTGGCGCACAGATTTCTTTAGAAGAAAAAAAAATGCTTCTAGGTATAAACTTTGTCTATTGCAGTTTAATTCTAAAATAAAAGATAATTGAGTGGAAGTTGAGGGTTTAATCTAGCAGTTAAGTGGTTCAGATATAAACAGAAGGAAAAGTCTCAAGATAACATTTCGATCCACTTTCATATTTTTACACAATTGCTACTTGTATATGAGGAATTTAGGGGATTTGCTAACCTTTCAAAAGATTAGTATCACTAAATTTGCTTTTTTCTAGAAGAATCCACTTGTATAAAAATATTTGTAATTTTTTCACAATGGTTATTTTCATCATGATTAAAGAAAAATTCTCCTTATTAAACTTCATTTCCCTAAGACACTGGTCACATATTTTCAAGTTTCTGAATCATATATATACCCAACTATTAATAAAATGTAAAAAAAAACAAAATTCAAATCAATTTTAAAAGCATCTTCTATCGAAGGTCAGTTCACAAAAACCCCCAATAGTTGAAACTATGTCTTCTGACGGGTAGCATTTATAAGGAAGTTTAGAAAGCCAGTCCAGGAGAGAAAGAGGATATGGTCAAATTCTACAGTAATGCTGTGTTCTGCACATTAGCCTATTAGAGACTCCAAGAAGTCCCATGAGGAGACCTGCTTAAACTGTTTTCTAAATTTAAATGACCACATAATCTATTATCTATGAAAACAAAGTTATCAAACACACTTTGAAAATTCATGGTCTATCTGCATTCTACCGATTAACTGGTCCAGAATCCCGTTAAAAATATTAAACAGGCTGGGCACGGTGGCTCACGCCTGTAGTCCCAGCACTTTAGGAGGCTAAGGCAGTTGGATCACTTGAACCCAGGAGTTCGGGACCAGCCTGGGCAACATGATGAAAACCGGTCTCTACAAAAAAAAAACAAAACAAAACACACACACACACACACACACACACACACACACACACACACACAAAACATTAGCCAGGTGTGGTGCCAGCTACTCAGGAGGCTAAGGCAAGACAATTGCTTGAGCCCAGGAGTTTGAGGCTGCAGTGAGCCAAGATCGTGCCACTGCGCTTCAGCCTGGGTGACACAGCAGGATCTGGTCTTAAAAAACAAACAAACAAACAAACTATATGAGACAAACTTGCTGTTAGTGGTCCCATGATCCCATGATATGATCCTGGTGACCCCTGCTTTAGGAGTTCATAAACCAGTCTTTTGATAATTCATCTTAGAGTCTTATCAAGAACTACTTTATAATTTGCAGAATCTACTTTTTCCCTTTGAAAATCAGGACATTTGCTAGTCTCTAACCTATGAGTAGTTTAATATAGGTTGAGCATCTCAAACCTGAACATCTGAAACATTTTGAGCACTGATATGACACAAAAGAAATGCTCCTTGGAGCATTTCAGCTTTCAGATTTGGAATGCTCAACAGTATGAATACAAGCACTCTAAAATACAAAAAAATCTGAAACACCTCTGGTCTGAAGCATTTCAGGTAAGACATACTCCACCTGTACTTTAATTCCTCAAGGCTTAGTAATAGCACGACCTCATCAATCAGGTTCTCAATGGGAATTTGGGGGAAGCACTTAAAAGCGTTATCTTTAAGCACTGGTGAGAAGAAAACGCAGACAAGCCTCACTACCTTTGGGACCAGCAACAAGAAAGCCACCAGAGACAAATACTGATCCTTTCAAATCAGTGGCTTGCCACAAGGAGGTGTGCACCAGAAATAACTGGGAAATTCTTACAGTTTATAAAGCTCCTTGGATGATTTTAATACATGTTTAGATAAAAATCCTAGTTTTGTGGCATGCACCTGTAGTCCCAGCTACTTAGGAAGCTGAAGTGGGAGAATCGCTTGAGCCAGGGAGGTGGAAGTTGCAGTGAACCAAGATCGTGCCACTGTACTCTAGCCTGGGTGATAGAGTGAGACCCTGTCTCAAAAAAGAAAAAAAAACAAACCTATTTTTGGGTACCATCCTTCTCACTGTAATCATGTCCACTAAGGACAATTTAACCGTAATCATTTGTAATAAAGACCTCTATGCTTTTAACTTTTATGAGTATTTTAGGCCATGAGTCGATGGTATTTTTCTCTAAGTACACTGTACTCTGGTTTCCTTAATAGTATTTTAGGAAACTCTAGCATTATTCTTTGATCTGGCTTCTAAGAATTAAGATGGTAGGGCTGGGCTACTTTCCCCCATAATTCACATTGCTTTCACTTAACCAACCAATTCTCCCTCTACAGGTAGTAAGTTTTGGAATAGCAGTTTTCATAACCCTTTTTCTTCTTCCTGAGTAGGAAATGACAAATGTACCAGAAATCCCTGCTGGAGTATTTTAGCACATTTCTTAGTAGATAAGAGTCTGGTTTTGCCTCTCTGTACTTGGTGGTCTTCAACTATTTACTTACATCCACTTGACTAAACAGCCTGTAGTTCACCTTAACAATAATCTCCCTCTTCTTTTGTCCTTACAGTGATCTAAAGAGCAGCCTTGTTATCTGTATCTCTTCTAGACAAACAGCACTACACTGAGTCATGAGTTGTTTCTTCTGACCAAGTTATTCCCTTCCATTGTTATATTCCAGTCGCTTTGCTCCACCAAACTCTTGGTCATATTATATATTAAAATATGTTCTTTATTATTCCTGTTCAGTGAATTGTCTGAGATTTTAAGTACAATTATTGATTTTGGGGGAATTAAAACTTATTCTTTTTACATTGTCTTACAGTTTTCAGAGATCTTTTTTTTTTTAAATAAAAATTATTGAATTCATTTTGGTAGCTTAAAACAAGATGTAATTTAGAGAATCATTTATGCTTTCAAATAAAACCTCCTACATTTAATTGACTAAAAGTTTAAGCACAAGTTACTACACAAAGAAAAGCTGTTTTAGGGTTATGTGAACTTGAAATAACACCATTAAGTTTTCAGCTGTCTGAAAGTAGTACAGCAACATTAAAGGGAAGAGACTAAACACCACCTCTGCTCCTAAACTAACAAGAGCTGAGACACATACAAATTTTATGGCAAGTAATCTAAAACTCTTCTAAAAATGATTAACTGTTATTCTATCCAACAAGAAAACCAATACAACAGATCTATCTAATTAGTTAAGACACCAGATACTCGTCATGCAGTTTCAGTGTCAAGTAACAAACCTCTATAAGTTGTTTCACAACTTCTAAGTACTCATAACATAACACATTTTAAAAGGCTGATCCCACTTTAAATAGAGTACACAATTATCAAGTGAATGTGCATATACACCAAAGATTCTCAAGTCTAATTTTGAAGCTCAATCTGGCAGCCTCCAAAGATTTCAATATATTGCAATGTCACTAGCATAACTTCCAAAAATAAAATTTCACATGGGGTGGGAAAAATACCATCAAATAGCTGAGTATTCTACCTCTAGAAAGCTGACATACATTAATCTGTATTTTTCATGTTAAAATGTGATTGACTTGAGTTGGTACAAGGGATAAATTATATTTTTATCTTATCAAACATTATCTAAGGGTGCAAAATGTAACCATTACAAATTAACACGAAAGTAGGCATTTTAGAATAGTTTTTCAGTACCTTCAGATTCTGACAAAATATAGTGCATTAAAAAAATTATGTGTGCCAATTTTGCTTATTGCTATTACGTTTTTTTAAAAAACTTCAATTTTTTATCCCAGTTTTATTAGAAATTGAAAAGCATTTTGCCATGTTCAGAAAATAACAAAATTAAACTTGTTTTTCCTATCTGAGCTAATTAAGATATCTGAGCTAATAGCTCTAAGTTACTACTATAAAGAGATAATCAGAAATATAGTTCAAAGTAACAAACTACAATTGATAATCACTAATGGTGACCTTTCTTTCATTTTAATATTTCTCTTATTGAGACTCTATTGTGTCTCAATAGATATTTTTTGGTTGTTAACATTCCCATTCACCCTGAAGACACCCATGGGACTTTATTAAATTTAAGAAAATACCCTAAGATATTGATTGCAATGTCAGAGATGGCCAAATTAAAAATAAAGTAATTGCTGATGATTAGGCCTTCTTTTTATTCTCAACTATTTTTGATATGTGTATTTAAAAACTCAATATTTAACAAAAAATGACTATGTTTCAAGTTTCAAAGTTCATTTGAAAGAAGTATATATCATTTCATTTGAAAAATAAGGAAGTTTCTGCAGATATATGTAAGATCCCTATATGTGCTATAAATCTGTCATGGAAACCATCAAATTTTAGTACTTTTAAAGGGGAATTCAAAGATTTTTCCTGTATTATGCAATTGAATACAGTAATTTTACATGTAAAAAAAAATTTACACTGAAAAACTCAAGCAAAAAGTCTGATACTTTATCAAAATAATAACAAAATGAGCAATGAAAAAATAGCAAAAGTTTACCAAAAAATAGTAAATTCCTATTTAAATTCCTGTGTTTACACAGATTAAAAATGCTTATCAATTAACTGTATGACACAGATTGTAGCATACTTCAAGCTGTAATATAAACACGGGATATTTGAAATTCAAGCTGCACTTACCAAAATAGTTTTAACCTGAGTCTTTGATGTCTTCAAAAATGCATTTGATGATAATATATGCAAGAATAGTTATTTTGTAGTAGAAGGTTACTTTTTTTGAATTGCTCTTAATACTCTTTCCTCTTAAATATTTGTGTAAAATTACAAATATTTATTACATTTCTTGGGTTCACTGAACACAAGGCAGTGTCTGAATTGAACAGCTGTTACTTTGTTCCTGTTATACAAGCATATAAAGATGCTTAGTTCAAAATATCTTAGATTTAATATTATTTTCACATTTTGACTTATTTTAGAACAAATATAAAGGGTCAAAATATTACCATAGATATCTGAATATTCCCATGAAATATGTCACACCCACTGAGGAATTAAAGAAGTTCACTAAAGAATATCAAATTAATCATTTCCTCCTATAAATATTTTCTTTTTATTTGTGTTTAGAAGTTGCAATTTTAGGTACTATTAACAGAAAATACATAACAAAAGCTTCCTAACAAGTGAAAAAAATAATTATAAATGTTGGAAAAATTGGCCTCATTAACATATTTACAGACTTTTACTTAATACATACGCCTTTGGAAATTAATTATGTGACATTTATACAAGCATCAAAATTTCCAAATCACTGAGTAGTGAGCACTTCAGTTCTTTACTGTCTACACCCAAATTTGAAAGTCATTTTTAGTTTTTGAAGGTAGAACTGACAAGTAACAGAAATGGTCAATCTGAGATACTATTGACATATTGTTCTATTCCTTCGCCTAAAGGTGCTTCTGTTGAGTAAGTGTCCTTATGCTTTCTTTTCTCTTTGCTCTGATCTTCCTGTAGCTTCAGAATTATGTTTCGGATTTCTTCTCTTTTTGTTCTCATTCTTGGTGGAGGAAACCAGTTTGCCAAATTCATAGGTAGTTCAAAATTGAGAATTGGATTCTGAAAATAAAACAATTAAATGCATATTAGAAAATTGTAATAAATAACCTTTCATTTCAATCACAGAAACATTCCAAAGTTAAAAATAAGAAAACCCAGCAACTCATTCAGTATGTATTTGTGTATTATCTATCACAGGTCAAGTACTGTGCTAGGTACTGGAGATACAAGACACAGTTTCTGTCACAGATCTTACAGTCTAGATCAGGGTGTGCCAGTGGACCAAATTCTGCCCACTGCCTGTTTCTGTAATAAAGTTTTATTGGAATACAGTCACACTAACTCATTTACATATGGTCTACAGATGCTTTCACTGGACAACAGAACTAAGAGGCAATAGAGACTGTACAGTTGCAAAGTCTAATGTATTTACTACTTTATTAACGAGTTTGCTAGCTCCAGTTTAGAAAGACAGGTAATTCAACAATTAAAACAAGAAATATGGCAAGTATTATGACAGAAGCATAGAGTACTGTGAAAATACATATCTGGGGGTTTTATGCAATTCCAAGAGGAAGTGATATTTAGGCTAAGACCTGAAGAAAGAATATATGTTAGACAGCCAAGGTATGATAGAGGCAACAAAAGAATATTCCAGGTTAGGAAATATGAATCAAGGCCCAGAGGCAAAAAAGAACACCAAACAATGGCATTCAGGTGGCTGGCTGTTATATTAAATGCTAGAGTGAAAATGGTGGGAAAATGAGGCTAGAAGCTTAAATTAGGGGTCATATCACATAGGTGTTTATCAATCATGTGAAAGATTTTGCTCTGTAAATCAACAGCCACAGGAAGCCACTATAAGATTTAAAGTAGGAAAAGAACAGGATTAGATTTATGTTTTTGTAAAACAACCATGAAAAACAGAAGGCAGGAGGCAAAGGAATCTGTTAGAGATTGGTATAGCAGTTCAGAATAGTGACACTTGAGGATAAAGAAGTAAACCTATCTGACATTAAGTGACAATTCACAGAAACTAGTGGTCAGCCACTGTATGATGGATGAAGATAGGAGTCAAGATCACTATAAAGAATATCCAAGAGAGGTATGTGTGGCACTGTACCTCTGAAGTCAAAGCCAAGAGAGTGAGGAAGAAATGGTTGACACTGTCGAAGGGTGCTGGAAAGTCAAAAACAATTTTAACATAAGGGTAAGGATGAAGCCAGATTTTAGAGATTACAAAGGTGGAATCTGTAGAATTAGAGTGTGAATATAAACACTTCTTAAGAAATATATCTATGAAGAGGAGAAAAGAGGCTAAAAGAGGCAGTGTGAATCATGGGAGAGATTTCTTAAGGTGGAAAGAGCTAGTAGAGAGGGCAGGTTGATTGTTCAGTGATAGAATGAGCTCAACAAGCCTTGGATTTGATGAACTGTAAATATACTATTTTTATCCCTTGAAGGTTCTTCCATTTAGAAGTTTTTGCTCCATGGAACAATTTTTGAAACAATAATTTTGAAACTCTGAAATATTTGCTTATTGTGTTTTTTACTAAGGTAAAGTAAAATGCACTATTTTATTATTTATTATATCAGATCCAACAAATTGAAACCCACCTCAAAAAAGCTCTCTACATACTGCAATACATATACACCACAGTCACTGAAGTTGTTTTGCTGTGGTACTTTTGGATTAGAGCCCTTCATAACATCTTTGGAAAAACTTCTTTTGCTTCCTTTTTTAACTTCCCATTCCACTTCTAAATACCTGCAATAATTCATATATATTAAGAATACACATATATAAAAATATACATAGTTCTTCACCCCATCAGAATACAAAATAAAGTGTGAACTTACTCTCTTAAAATTTTGACAACATTTGACCGAGAAGGGCCTCGGAGTGAGTCCATAAGTAAGATACAAGGTCTGCAGGGTAAAAATAACCAAAAGTCGAATACTTCATAATATTACAAGGGCATACAGGGATTAAAAGTGGCATATTATAAACAATCAAATTTGAAACATCCAAAATTCCCTTTGTATGACTCAGTACTAGTGACGGGAAAAAAAAATGAACCTTATAGACACATTTGAACTCTATAATCTAATAATACTTAAATATCTATGGATATATTAAATATTGAATTATAGAATATTAACCGTATCTTAGCTATATTTTATACTAAAATTCTGTAGTTCGTTTCTAAAAGTACTTCAAAATTAGGAAAAAGTCAAAACAATTCTGAAAATTGGAACATCCCCATATTCCAAATCAACAAAAGAAGGGCCATGAAAAAGTAGAAAGAAAATAATCCCCCCGACCCCAGGGTCTTACTCTTGTCACCATGTGAAGTGGCGTAATAACGGCTCACTGCAGCCTCAATGTCCTGAGCGCAGGTAATCCTCCCACCTCAGCCCCTTGAGGAGTTGGAACTGCAGGCATGTGTGTCCACGCTCAGCTAATTTTTGTATGTTTTTTGTAGAGACAGGGTTTTTCCATGTTGCCCAGGCTGGTACAGAACTCCTGGGCTCAAGCTATCTGCCCGCCTCAGCCTTCCAAAGTGCTGGGATTATAGGCATGTACTACTGCGCCCAGCCAAAAACCTCATTTTTAACTAAAATTTATTATAGATAAAACAGGTAATCATCATATAAAACAATTAGTTTAGAATGTGTGGTTTTTTTTTTCAAGATTTAACTTCAGAACACACTGTATAACACTCTGTATAACTCTGTATATAAATGTTGATGGCTGATGATTCAACTTTCAATATTTTAATTCTATAAAGTTATGTTGTAAACTCAAGTAAGGAAGTCTAATGTAGAGCCCAAAGCCCTCAAATGTTAAAAAAATCGAGGTTATTTTTTAGCCACCACACTTGGTTCTTTTTTTTTTTTTTTTAAATTAACTTTTTCCAGAGATGGGGTCTCACTGTGTTGCCCAAGCTGGTCTTGAACTCCTGGCCTCACGCAATCCTCCTGCTTTGGCCTTCAAAAGTGCTAGGATTATAAGTGTGACCCACTGTGTCTGGAATTGATCTAGGTTCTTCCTGCTAAAATTTTATAAAGTTTGGAGCAGATTCTTTAACTACCCTAGGTCTCTATTTTTCTGTAAAATGATGCTTCATTTTCAAAGTCTCTTAATAGTTTCTGTCAACATTTTCTATAAAAAAAAGTCAAAGGAGATTAAACCTAGAAATAGGTAATACTTCATCTAAGAAGTTCAACATCGCTGGAGAGACCTCAGAATAAACATGTACTTCTGAAAACCAAAACTGACTCACTCTTATTTGGAGCTCTCAGTTGGAACATGTCTCTTACATCTGCCTTAGGTTACTCCACAGCCTTCATAAAGCAGCTAAGGAATCAGTGTAAACTCCAACCCCATGTTACTATTTTGATATATAGTAATTTCTGCTCCAAAACACTGTTAAGTAAAAAGGAACAGTGGTTCACTATCAAAACTTGTGGCCAGGCGCGATGGGTCATGCCTGTAATCTCGGCACTTTGGGAGTCTGAGGCAGGCAGATCGCTTGAGGCCAGGAGTTTGAGACCAGTCTTGCCAACATGGCAAAACCCCATCTCTACTAAAAATACAAAACTTAGTCAGGCATGGTGGTGCGCACCTGTAGTCCCAGCTATTCCTGAGGCTGAGTATGAGAATCGCTTGAACCTGGGAGGCGGAGGTTGTGGTGAGCTGGGATCGTGCCACTGCACTCCAGCCTGGGTGACAGAGCAAGACTCTGTCTCAACAAATATATACAAAAAAAAAAGTAAACAAAACAAAACATTTGTGTGTGCACACGTGCATGCAGAGGCTGGGGAAACTGGCAAATGGAGGACTGAAATGATTATCCATTCTTCCCGTTTTAATCCCTGGATAGCATGCCTCAAGTTTCCTCACTGACTCTGACAGCATTTATGAGTTTTGCTTAAGTATTTGTTTAAAAAAAAAAAAAACTGTCCTGTTATGTTTTATTTTATGAGCATACTGAAATAAAAATTATGTAGTTTGCAAGATACACAGTTAATGCTTACTGTTTACAGATAGTAGGCTTTAAATGCCACTGTCCTATTTCTGAATTGCAGCTGTCATCAGCAAGGAATCCATCATCACTGCTATCATCCTATAAGAGACAGCCTACTGTTAATATTGAAAATATATAATCTAAATAACTAATAACCTAACAAAATAGCACATTGGAGACAAAATATTTGTAATGAATGTCAAAAATTTTTCTCTATTTAGGTGATTAGACAATAGAGATATACGTTACTTAGTTCCAATTATCTAATGCTACAACATTGATATTTTAAGGAAAAGAAACTACCAAAGGTTTATAACAAATTGTTACATCTATTTACTCAATCTAGAATAAATCTTTAAGACTGAATATATTATGACCGATTCTTATCTCACCAAATATCACTGCTCTGATTTTAGTTTATTTTTACAAAAATTTAGTTTGTTGGCTAAGACAGCTATTTCACAATAGGATATAAATAACATGTTATTTTACATGAATAATGTTTTCACACCAGAAATATTTAAAGGGTTTTTGGAAACACTGTTTTCCTTGAGAAACCCACATAACCATCTCACTTGAGAGAAGCTAACTTAAGGATACTGTGTCCTTATTCTGCAGATTCTCTTGTAAAATAAACAAGGCTTTTTTGGTCATTGTTGTTCTTTGAGAAAGCTTCTGGCAACTTTATGAATGGAATAATCAATAGTAGGAATAATAGTAATAAAAAGCACAGTTACATTAGCTTGTTCACATCACAGGTAACTGTTATAATCAAAAGTACCTAAGTGCTCATTATAAATCATGAATGTAATTCCTATATATGTTGGATTGAAAAGCTGTATTTAGCTGCCATACATTGTAAACCAAGAGATATCATAACATGCCTTTTGTTCACAGGAAGATAAAGCAAAAGGAAAGATGGTACAGTATAAAGCCATCTTCACTACTATACAACTCAGTATGTCCTAACAACTAACGAAAGATCAGAGAATTAACAAAATGGTATGCTGTAGATTATAAACTTTTCTCAATATAAAATCCTCTTTAACAGAAGCTAAAAAGTATTTTCACAGATACACTTTATTCTTGCTGTTAATACTGTTTATTAACAGTATTTAATAAGAGACTCTAAGGAAATGTCAAATGAGACTCTAAGGAAAAGTCAGAATTCATCTATATTAACTATAAATATTATCTGCTTCTGCCATGACATATATAAATTGAATCAGGCAGGAGAAAAAAAATCAATGGAAAAATGGGAAAACAATATAATTTTTTGGTACTCATGTACCACAATACTGAAGATTTAAACATTTGCTTCTTGAATGTCAAGTCAGGTTAAAGGTTAAGTATGACCCATAAATGCTTTGAAAGAGGAAAGTGGGTAGTGGTGGTGGTAGCTGAGTTAGGGTGGGATAATTAATATTATATTAAAGTTCAGTCCACACCACAGTAGCAGCAACAACAGCATGAATACATTTATCCTGGCAACTTCTGACTTGAAAGCTGAATTTGTTTTTTAAGATATGATCCAAATCCAGAAGCCATGATAAATTACTAGTTGAAGAAATTGCTTTACAAGACTTTATAAAGTACAAGTTTTTTCTTTTTCTTTTTCTTTTCTTTTCTTTTTTTTTTTTTAAAAGAGATGGAGGTTCCTTATGTTGCCCAGGCTGAACTCAAACTCCTAGGCTCAAGAGATCTTTCTGCCTTAGCCTCCCAAGTCACTGAGACTACAGGTATGCACCGCCATGTTCAGCAAGAAAAACGTTTAATCAGATAGAACATTAGAACTTTTTGCCAAGCATTAAGTTTTACCTGGTTATCCTGATCTTCTGAGAAGTCAATGAGTTCATCTTCAAGCATTTTACCACCTTCAGGTGATTCATCGCTATAGTTTAGTCTGATATTGCTTAAGCCATCTGTACCAGTAAGAAATATTACATAATAAAAAAGGCCATGTCTATCACTCATGGTACATGAGGCTGAAATTAATGCTAGTAGTTAATTAAGGATATAGTAGTCAAGGACACAAAATCTGCCTTAGTCTGTAATATCACAAACATAAAGTGAGTTATTTTAAAAACCTGGATTGACATGTCAATTACAGTTGTTTCCACTACTCAGATACTAAAATTCATTAAAATTTAAAAACTAAGTATCAGCTATATGATTAAGTATATATATACTTAAATACATATATATGTATATGTGTAAAGAAGTAAGTACTTTTGTGCTAGGCAAGTCAGGTGTCTTTAGTAATGAAAGCTATGACAGTCTGAAAATAACCTATGTCCAATAACAGAAACAGCAAATCACAGAACATAAAAGAAAATGCAACTGCATAATTAAAATTTCGAAAATGTGGAAAATTATACAATTCAGGGCAAAAATGAACATTAATTACAAGTAAGTAATAGGTCTGTTTTTAGACAAATAATAAGGAACTATTTTGCCAAAAGAAGCTAATCACATGTTTCAAAGAAATGTTAAGATTTACTACCACTTCAAAATTTTATTTTACTTATTTATTTATTTTTTATTTTTTTGAGACGGAGTCTTGCTGTTGCCCAGGCTGGAGGGCAGTGGCACAATCTCGGCTCACTGCAACCTCTGCCTTCCGGGTTCAAGTGATTCTCCTGCCTCAGCCTACTGAGTAGCTGGGATTACAGGTGCATACCACCATGCCTGGCATCTTTTTTCTTTTTGAGTCTTGCTCATTGCCCAGGCTGGAGTGCAGTGGCGTAATCTCGGCTCACTGCAAGCTCTGCTTCCCAGGTTCACGCCATTCTCCTGCCTCAGTCTCCCGAGTAGCTGGGACTACAGGCGCCTGCTACCACGCCCAGCTCCTTTTTTGTCTTTTTAGTAGAGACAGGGTTTCACCGTGTTAGCCAGGATGGTCTGGATCTCCTGATCTCGTGATCCACCCGCCTAGGCCTCCCAAAGTGCTGGGATTACAGGCATGAGCCACTGCGCCTGGCCACATTTTTGTATTTTTAGTAGAGATGGGGTTTTGCCATGTTGACCAGGCTGGTCTTGAACTCCTGTCTTCAAGTGATCCACCTGCCTTGGCCTCCCAAAGTGTTGGGATTACAGGCATGAGCCACCATGCCTGGCCTTATTTTTTTAAGAGACAGGATTTCTCTCACTCTTTTGACCAGGTGGAGTCCAGTGATGCAATCATAACTCACTGTAACCTTAATCTCCCAGGCTCAAGCCATCCTCCTGCTTTGGCCTCCCAGAGTGCTGGGATTACAGGTGCACACCACTATGCCCAGCTGATTTTTATTTATTTATTTTCCTTTCAAAAATTTGAAAAGCATGACTCTTAGGTATTTTAGACAGGATAAAATTAATTTTGGTTTAAGTTACTAAAAAGGTGTTAAGATATTAACATAAACAAGATGGGATGAAAAGGAAGCAAAAAATCTGAAAGGATATATAATCCAGACTGGCTAACACAGTGAAACCCTATCTCTACTAAAAAATACAAAAACTAGCCGGGTATGGTGGCATGTACTTGTAATCCCAGCTACTCGGGAGGCTGAGACAGGAGAATTGCTTGAACCTGGGATACAGAGGTTGCAGTAAGCCAAGATCACACCACTGTACTCCGATCTCAGTGATAGAGCGAGACTCTGTCTCAAAAAAAGAGAAAAGATATATATCTAACTGTTGTGTTCAGAAGCATACTATTTAAAATAGCCAATAAACCAATAAAGCACCATGGGGCCAGACACAGTGGCCTAGCACCTGTAATCCCAGCTAGCACTTCAGGAGGCTGAGGCAGGAGGATCACTTGAGTTCAGAAGGATCACCTGGGCAACATAGCGAGACCCTGTCTCTACAAACAAAATAAAATAATCATACAGGTGTAGTGGTGTGCACCTGTGGTCCCAGTCACTCAGGAAACTGAAGTGGGAGGATCACTTGAACATGGGAGGTTGAGATTACGGTGAACTGTGATTGCATCGCTGTACTCTTAACTTGTATGAAAGTGAGACTCTGTCTCGAAAAACAACAAAAATCCACCACCACAACAAAAAAACCACTATGGGCTGAGGGCAGTGGCTCACATCTGTAATCCTAACACTCTGGGAGGCTGAGATGGATGGACTGCTTTAACACAGAAGTTTGAGACCAGCCTGGGCAACATAGGGAGCCTCTGTCTCTACAGAAAATAAATTTTGCCGGGCAGGTGACACATGCCTATAGTCCCAGCTACTCGGGGGGTTGAGTTGGGAGGATTGCTTGAGTCCAGGAGGTAGGGGCTTCAGTGAGCTGTGACTGTGCCACTGCATTCCAGCCTGGGCAACAGAGTGAGACCCTGTCTTTAAAAAAAAAAAAAAAAAGAAAGAAAAAAAGAAAAAAAAGAATTACCTCTTCAATTTATCTTTTCCAAAAATCTGTATTTTTAAGTCTGTTTAAAGCTAAAACACCTGTATCTGAATAACATTTGTCCAAAATCTTCAGGCAATTCAGAATTAGTTACAATCGGGTTACTTCTAGCAGCAAATCATTATTATCTATGTAAACTGTGGTCACATAAATATCTATCTACCTTAAACTAAAGTACGAATGCCTTTCAAAAACAGGAGAAAAATAGCTTAAATGATGCAGTCAATTCCCTCCATAAACAAATGATCTGGAGTAAACTGAGAGGTGATGACTTGATCAGTGGTCCTCTCAATCAGTGTCAGTTCCTGAGAACTTCTCATATAATGAGACCATGTGAAGATGCTGAGCGTGATTCCAGAGTTTAAGCGTACACATATTTCATGCACCATGGCAAGCCAACTATTTCACAAGGTGTCAAGTGAAAAAACAGCAAGTGAAAGTAGTGATTCCACACATTGTTACTTCCCTAGTTTACTGTAAAAACCTAATTTCCACTTATTTACTACAGCCTGTTATCTGACATAGTCAACACTTGTTGACTATATGTGAAATCATTGTTTTTTGTAAAACATTTGTTTCAGAGGAAGAGATAGCTGATATGGTATACCCATACTAAAAACAAAACAAAAATGTACAAAGTATAATTCAAAAATGAGTAAATGGGATAAACAAGTATTAAGAAGGCAAACTACATAAAACAAGTTATTTTTGGCTTTGGTCTCCATTAGGATTTTTGAGGCTATTTACTCAAATTTAACTGGATGTTACTTGACCAGAAAATTAATTTGTAGGTGAGAGCACTAGAAATCTCTGGAGTTGGTGTATATGAAGTCCTAGGCTTTTGTCCCATTGCTTTAAGTCAAGCACCTTAATTCATCTGAATTTACATTAAAGTATGTAAGATTATTGGCCAAAAGGAGACTTAAAAAAAGAGCCATACTAAAATTTAATTCACATACCATATACACCCATTTAAAGTATACAATCTAATATTTTTTAGTATATGCACAGTCATCACAACCAATTTTTAAACCTTTTCATCATCTCAAAAAGAAACCCCATACCACTTAGCTATCACTCTCTTCCTAAATTCCCACCCACCTCACCTGACCACCCCCAAAAGCCCCAAGCAGCCACTAATCTACTCTAGATTTTCCTGCTCAGGAGATTTCTTACAAGAGCTCAACAGGTCGGGTGAGGTGGCATGCACCTCTAATCCCAGCTACTAGGGAGGCCGAGAAGACAATCACTTGAACCTGGGAAGGGGAGGTTGCAGTGAGCCAAGATTGTGCCACTGCACTCCAGCATGGGTGACTAAGAGAGACTCCATCTCAAAAAAAAAAAAAAAAAAAAAAAAAAAAAAAAAAAAGGCTTAACAATAGCTTTCTAACTCACTAAAATAATATAAGCTGGTATAAGTGCCAAGAGTATGTTCCATATTCACAATTTTTGATAGGTTCTTTCTGAATTCACATAATTTATTCTATGTCCTATACCAATATTTTTCATCCAAAGAAAATTCATTAGTTCCATGAGCAAGGTGTTAGGAAAAAAAGAAGAAAAATGTATTAGATCTATTCACAGTTTAAGAAGTTTGCAAGGCACACAATATAGCATGTTATGGGTTTTTATGGCGAGGACTATTTTACTTGTAGGTTGGAGAGGAAATTATACAATTGACTTGATATCAAATGTAAGAATTTGAACAGAAACTAGCTTTTTATTTATGTATTTACTTTTGAGATGGAGTCTCGCTGTTGCCCAGCCTGAAGTGCAGTAGCACAATCTCAATTCACTGCAACCTCCGCCCCCGGGTTCAAGTGATTCTCCTGCCTCAGCCTCCTGAGTAGCTGGGATTACAGGCGCGTGCCACCATACCCAGCTAATTTTTGTATCTTTAGTAGAGATGGGGTTTTACCACGTTGGTCAGGCTGGTCTCAAACTCCTGACCTGGTGATCCACCCGCCTTGGCCTCCCAAAGTGCTGGATTTAACCACACCTGGCCACAACTAGATTTAACAGGTTCTACAACTACGGAACTGACTCAAGGACAAAAATCAATATATTAGAGCTGAAGAGAGATTTAAACAAGCAGAGATTGGACCAGTGCTCCTCTTCCCACTGAAAACAGTGAAGGAGAGTGAGGAATGAAGAACCAAACTTTAATTGGAATGTCCACAATTATTTTGAGGAGAAAACTTTAATTTCTGCCTTGGTCCATTTGATCTCAATTTACACATTGGTAAATTTGTCTTATACATCTAAGACTGCACAATTACTGTTAATGCTGAATACTGTAAATTTCCTATGAAATTAAATCCAAGTTCCAATAAATGGAAAATATAAACTTTGTTCTACAATTTCAAAATTGCACTCTAGGGGTGACAGAAGAAACAGAATACAAAAAGGGCACAAGGGGATTTTTTTTTGGAGTGATGAAAAGTTCTTAATTTTTTTGTTTTTTTATTTTGAGATGGGGTTTCCCTCTGTCACCCGGGCTGGAGTGCAATGGCGCGATCTCCACTCACTGCAACTTCAGCCCCCTGAGCTCAAGCGACCCTCCCTCCTCAACCTCTCAAGTAGCTGGGACCACAGATATGCACCACCATGTCTGGCTAAGTTTTTGTATTTTTGGTAGAGACAGGGCTTCACCATGTTGCCCAGGCTAGTTTCAAACTTCTGAGCTCAAGTAATCTGCCAATCTTGGCCCCTCAAAGGGCTGGGATTACAGGTGTGAGCCACTGTGCCCTGGTCAGGTTCTCAATTTTGACTGCAGTAGTGATTACATGACGCTATATATACATTTATCAAAGTTCATTAAGCTACACTCATAAAATGAGTGAATGTTATTATAATTACACTTCAGTATAAATTAAAAGTAAGTTGTGTTACTATATTGTTATAAGTAAATTCTTTAAAAATTTTCTATTTATTTTTTTTGGAGATGGGGTCTCGCTATGTTGCCCAGGCTGGTCTCAAACTCCTGGCTTCAAGTGATCCTCCCACCTTGGCCTCCCAAAGTGCTGGGATTATAAGTGTGAGCCACCACACCCAGCCATTAACCTGATTTTTTTTTTTTAAACAGGATCTTAATCCTGTTTATTAAAAAATCCAGATTATTCTGAGTTTTTTCATTCTTTCAAAGCATTTAGATACGTACCTGTATGATGCGTGGAACTGAAACCTTCATTCTGTAGACCATTCTCACTTTTAGTCCTATCAGCAACTTTCTGGGATGTAGATTCTCCTTTATTCAATTCTTCATTTTCACTCGCAGTATGATTTATTTTTTTCACACTATATTTTACACTGCATATGTTTCTCTTGTAACGAGGGTCACTTTCTTCCTGCCCAGGATTGGAATCAGTTACAGCTATGCAATGTTTTTTGTTTAGCATCTTCTTAATTACAGGCTTGGCAGAAGAGTTTTGTGAACAACTGTCCATTTCACTGGCTGAAGAAGAAATACAACTGTCCTCTACAGTTGAACATTTCTGTATGACAGCATTTTCATGGTAATGAGGATTAGGTTCATACTTTGGTTTTTCCAAACCGGGGAAACAAACAACAGCCAAAAACCAGTGTGCACTGTAAAAAACAAATGAAATAACTAAATATGTTATTAGAAAAGTTTATTATATTTGGCAATACATATCAATTAAAATGTTTTTTTTTTTAAAGTTCTTGCCAATGAATTTATTAAAAATGTCTAATTCTGGCCGTGGGGTAGCTCACGCCTGTAATCCCAGCACTTTGGGAGGCTGAGACAGATGGATCACCTGAGGTCAGGAGTTCGAGACCAGTCTGGCCAACATGGTGAAACCCTGTCTCTACTAAAATGCTACTCAGTAGGCTGAGGCAGGAGAATCACTTGAACCCAGGAGGCAGAGGTTGCAGTATGCTAAGATTGTGCCACTGCACTCCAGCTTGGAGGTGACAGAGCAAGACTCCATCTCAAAAAAAAAAAAACAAAAAAAAACAAACCTTATTTTTTAAAAATTCTCAAATTAATCTTGTTTTATGTGATCATTGATTCAGTAACAGAATACAATGTCTATTCAAAAATAACATAGTTTGTATTAAAATTATGAAGCCTGTATTTACTTTTGCAAACAATCCCTGAACCTCTTGTTTTTTGAATGAAAAATTCATTGCTTTTTCTGGCAAGTATGTCATTTTGCAACTTATCATTCCCCTTTGCCTTCTCTTTATGTAAAAAGATGGAAAAAGATTAAACTATCGGTCAGGGGCGGTGGCTCACGCCTGTAATCCTAGCACTTTGGGAGGCCGAGGAGGACGGATTGCCTGAATTCAGGACTGAATTCAGGAGTTTGAGAACAGCCTGGGCAACATGGTGAAACCGCGTCTCTACTAAAATACAAAAAATTAGCTGGGCGTGGCAGTGTGCACCTGTAGTCCCAGCTACTCGGGAGGCTGAGGCAGGAGAACTGCTTGAACCCGGAAGGCGGAGGTTGCAGTGAGCCAAGATTGTGCCACTGCATTCCACCTTGGGCGACAGAGTGAGACTCCATCTCAAAAAAAAAAAAAAAAAAAAAAGATTAAACTGTCTTCAGCAGTCTAATTAGGTTATATGATTTTCAACATTTTCTAAGAATTGCATATATAGTTTTGTTCTTTTTACTGTTACTGTGTGTTATTAAGATAGGAAAGGCTTAATATCAAAATACGTATATAAGTAATGTTTTATCTTATGCTATATTGAAATTTAATACGTTAAAAATAAATAACATATCTAATTTAGTCCTTGTACAAAAATTTAAGTATTAGTAGACAGTTCCAGCTATCAAGCAGTGCTTATGATACAGCTGAATTCAGGTATCAATGTTCCCAACAGTAGAGTACAGGACACAAGCAAGAAGCTGTACAGTACTGGCTAACATTCATTTTTTGCTAGACACAGGGCTCTGTTGGGATACAAGGAATAGGCTATAGATGTCAGGAAGCTTATTGGTCAAGTACAATAATGTTTGTCCTATGATAGGGTTTTCAATAAATATTTGCTGGATGAAAAACAAATTATCTTGCCGTGGATAAAAATTATTCCACATTCTCATTTTTGCAAAAGATTAGAGTACCCAAGGCAGTAATAAGAAACAGCACTATCTATCTCTTCATCGAACAGTATCCAGTAGAAATGGCTGTCATAGGCTGGCTGGCTTCATCTTCAGTATTGCGAAGGCCAGATGGATGAACGCTTGCTTCTCTCCTGTTCTTCGTTATTAATCCTTAGTACCCTATGGATTTAGATCAGGCTAACGCACCAACCTCCTCGTTTCATCATTTCTAACACATAGCTAATTTTATTTATAAAGTCACATCTCAACTTCAGACATGTTGCAATGAGAAAAAAAATGTGTTTTAAAAATTGATGCCGGATATGGTGGCTCACACCTGTAATCCCAACACTTTGGGAGGCTGAAGCAGGTGGATCGCTTGAGTTCAGGAGTTGGAGACTGGCCTGGGCAACGTGGCAAAACCCCGTTTCTACCAAAAACACAAAATATTAGCTGGGTGTGATGGCACGTGCCTGTGGTCCAAGCTACTGGGGTTGGGGGCTGAGGTGGGAGGATAGTTTGAACCTGGGAGGCGGAGGTTGTAGTGAGCCAATATGGTGCCACTGCACTCCAGCGTGGGAGACAGAGTGAGACCCCATCTCAAAATAAATAAAATAAAATTGATGAAATACAGTGTAATACAGTGACTCTCAACCTACTGCTGTAATAAAGCCTATCACAGTTCTTAACATTTCTTAGCTATGCCAATATGGCTAAGCTACAAATTTCCTCACCTAAAAACTAGGAAAAATCCTTTTTGGCCTAAAAGAGAAAGCTGAATCAGACCATTACTTCCAACAATTACTTCCTTTAAGCCAGGGTTTTGCTTTTATGATTCCTTTTAATAATAGCTACATTAACTTTAACAGCAGGAGAGACGCTAACACAGACTTTTGGCCAGGCGCAGTGGCTCACGCCTGTAATCCTGGTGCTATGGGAGGCTGAGGTGGGGGAACTCCTTGAGGCCAGAAGTTTGAGACCAGTCTGGGCAACATAGCTAGACCCCATCTCTAAAAAAAAATTAAAAAAAAAAAAAAAATTAGCTGGGCCTATGGCACACACTGTAGTTCTAGCTACTTGGGAGGCTGAGACAGGAGGATCACTTAAGCCTAAGAGTTTGAAGCTTCAGTGAGCTATGATTGCACCACTGTACTCCAGCCTGGGCAACAGAATGAGACTCTGTCTCTAAAAAACAAAACAAAACAAAATACCCAGGCAATTTCACTTAAGATGGATTAGACCCATACATCAAATTTGTGTTCCTGGAAATTACTATAACAATTTTTAATAAACAGCTTAGAAACTTAAGAAAAAAAATGGGCCAGGTACAGTGGCACATGCCTGTAATTCCAGCACTTTGAGAGGATAAGGCAGGTGGATTGCTTGGGCTCTGGAGTTTGAGACCAGTCTGGGCAGCATGGCAAAACCCCATCCTCTAAAAAAAACACAAAAATTAGCCAGGCGTGGTAGCATGTACCCATAGTCCCAGCTACTCAGGAAGCTGAGGATAGAGGATCGCTTAAGCCTGGGAGGTTGAGGCTGCACTAAACTGACATCATGCTACTACATTCCAGTCTGGATGACACAGAGAGACTCTATCACGAGAAAAAAAAAAAAAAAAAAAAAAGAAAGAAAAAAAAATTGGTACCACCAGAAAAAATAAAAACAAAATAGATGACAAATATATGGCAGCCAATCTAACATAATTAATGCATAAGTATTTGTAGCTTTATCTCTTCAAAAAAAAAAAAAAAAGCAAAAACAAAAACAAGCTCTCTTGATTTATAGGCTATTTTTAAATCTATAAATGGTAGAGTCCTCTTACAGAGTTCATTCTCTACCTCTCACTAAGATGACTGGAAGCACTGATAATAACTTCCATGCACAGGTATAGTGATTAAGAGGGATGTGCCTCTATCCCTAAATCTTGTGTAATCAAATTATATTTCTATTTAAAATGTTTATAATTCATTTTCTCCCTTTCACTTAGTAAGCTGTTCATATGTTACTTTATAAGACAAATTTGTACCCAGTCAAGAAACCTCTTTTCATTCTTTCTTTTTGAGATGGAGTCTCACTCTGCTGTCCAGGCTGGAGTGCAGAGGCATGATCTTGGCTCACTGCAACTTCTGCCTCCCGGGTTCAGGCGATCCTCCTGCCTCAGCCTCCTGAGTACCTGGGATGACAGGCACACACCACCACGCCCAGCTAATTTTTGTATTTTCAGTAGAGACACAGGTTTCACCACGTTGGCCAACCTGGTCTTGAATCCCTGACCTCAAGTACTCTGCCCCCTTGGCCTCCCAAAGTGCTGGGATTATAGGCGTGAGCCACCACACCCAGCCAAAACCTTATTTTGAAGAGAATGAAGAAATCAACTAGTTTTAAATGTTTTAAATTTTACTATGATAATATGAATTTAAAAATATATAGCTCTGCCAGGAGCAGTGGCTCATGTCTATAATCCCAGCTACTCGGGAGCCTGAGGTGGGGGGGATGGCTTGAGGCCAAGAGTTCAAGACCAGCCTGAGCAACACAGTGAGATACCCACCTCTACAAAAGTTAAAAAAAAAAAAAAAAAAAAAAAAAATTCGGAAGCTAGCTTGGCACAGCTAGACTTATTATACATAAACAATCTCATAGAATATCAACTCCAGGAAAGCATATTCTGCAACCATGATAGAGTGAGACAAAGTAGGGCCATATCATAATTTGTCTAAGCAGAGAAAAATATAAGGTTATAGTTGGAAACCACAAAATACTCAACATTCTTCTTCTTTATTAATAAGGGAATGCTACTTCTTTACCTAGGCAAACCACCACTACTTTAGACCCTCCCCCATTATCACCCAAGGAAAGCCCAGATGCTTTCACAGATTCTTTGAAACTCCCTTTTAATGAGAGGCTCCAGAGCTGCCCATGGTGTGTGTTATTCCTTGATGTAAGTAATAAACAAAGTTTTCCAACTACAAGTGTATTTCTGGTGGTCTTTGGATCGAGGGCATAGAAAAACAAAAGAACAAAATACAAAAAACTTTTAAGTCTTACTTGTAAAATAATACTATCTAGTCATTGTGAGAGAATAATATAAATATTTAAACACCTCCATTTACTCAGAAACTTCTTCAAGTAGTCCGCATGGTTTTTAATTGAAAAATGGCATAAATCCAACCATCATTTTCTCTCTTCTGGTTAAAAACAGAAGTGTATTTTAAACTTAAGATTCCAACTCCTTTATGTGACCTAATCATCTTTTTGTAAAAATAATACTTTTCTATAGATTATTTGCTAGACAATAAGCACCACTTTTTTTTAAAAAAATAGTATTATTTGACATTAATGAATAAAATGAGATTAGAAAGGTATCTGGTCTACTGTCTGTAAAATTCAGTATCTTACATGATTCACTGTGAAACTGCATTAATTCTTGTAAAACAGGCAGTACAAATATGAATATATACAAGAGACTTCAGAAAGATGTTTTAAAATGAATTCTTCACCTCATACTAATTATTTAAAAATTGCCATCATTTACATAAAGGAAATCCTTACTCACGCTTCATTAAGGGGTACAAAAATAAAATCCTTCTCAAAAATATCTACATGCCGGGTCCATGTTTTTACTCTCCCATGTCGCTTTTGCTGTATTCTGTAAGAAAGAGATAAATTATAAGCTTCTGAAATATTTCTAGTGCTCCAGCTTATATGTAGTGATTTATAAATTAAGAAGATTCAGATGTAATAGCTCAAACAGTTGCATAAAATGGTTTGACAAACTGGGGAAAGAAAATAGAACTTGTTGGATTGAAACTAGGAAGGCATGGGACTACCCACTGTTGAATTTGGAGAAAGATATTTTACTCCTGTTACTCCATCTGAGGGGCGAAGTTCTAGTGCTTATCTTGCCTAGACTTCTCTTTACTATTTTTATTACTGCAGAATTGGTACTGGCAACTATACTGAGAGGTGTAGCCAAGTAAAACTTAGGGTAACTGGGGAGAAAACAGTAGGAAAAGTGAGCATTATCTGATGGTAGATGAAGCAATATAGCTATGAGCACTGGTCAAAACCAATGACTATTATCAACTCTAAGAGGCAACATTAGGAATTGCTGAAATAAGAGAAAATATTATTTATTATTATTTATTATCATGCATAGCAGCCATCAATTCAAGACATCTAAGACTAGTTTTAAATTTAAAAATCTACCAATTCTTAAGTGTATCTTCTGATCAATTACCAGCAAATTATCAGAGCTAGATGCCATCACTATATGGAGAATTATAAAGAAAATAGGTGGGCATGGTGGCTCACACTTGAAATCCCAGTACTTTGGGAGGCAGAGGCGAGCAGATTCCTTGAGCCCAGGAGTTTGAAACCAGCCTGGGAAACATGGTGAAACTCTGTCTCTACAAAAAATACAAAAATTAGCTGGGTAGGGTGGCATGTGTCTTAGTCCCAGCTACTTGAGAGGCTGAGGTGGAAGGATCACTTGAGAGTGGGAGGTGGAGTTTGCAGTAAGACAAGATTATACCAATGCCCTCCAGCCTGGGTGACAGAGTGAGACCCTGTCTTGAAAAAAAAACAAATCAGGCCTACTATGTACAATAGTACTTCCTTAATTTGTCTGAGAAGAATCACCCAAAGAGCTTATTAAGAGTATAGATTCACAGGTTCCTTTCTATTATGGATAAACACCTAGGATAAAACAGAGTAATCTGTAGTTAGTAAGTATCTAAGTAATTAAAAAAAAATCCTATTAGTCACATCTGGGAAACACTATTCTACATATTTGACCTAGAACATTTATAAATTCTAGGTATTCTGAAAGTATTAGAATGTTATGAATTATATTAATTTTGTAAATTGATAAGAGAAGTAAATGATATTGCCTCAATATAAGTAAGTTGTTAAAAAAAATTCCAAAACTAGCACAAAGTTAGTCTAAGGCAGGTGAATATGAACCCATGAAGCATGAAAATGGAACTGACTTATTTAGTGTGTTCTCTTCCTGGCTGGAGAATTTAAAAAGTAAGCAAAAGAATTGCAGAGATTTGTGTTTTCTTTCAAGTACGTGATTATTTAGTTAGTTAAATTTGAGTGACTTACATCTGTTAAATATTTTCAGAATTTGACTTACGACAGATTAGTTGTTTCATGATTTCTCCTCTCTCTCTGATTAAGGCGTTTATAGAAAAAAGAACTGAATATATGAATTCGGTCAGCGTCTTCCTTCTTCAGTTTTTCAAGCACCAAATATCTATTTGATACAAAATAATTCAAATACAATTAGTGTAACAGTTCACTTTATTTACTTATTTATTTATTTCTATTTTTTTGAGACGGAGTCTCGCTCTGTTGCCCAGGCTGGAGTGCAGTGGTGCGATCTCAACTCACTGCAACCTCCACATCCTGGATTTAAGTGATTCTCCTGCTTCAGCTTCCCAAGTAGCTGGGATTACAGGCACACACCACCACGCCTAGCTAATTTTTGTATTTTAGTAGAGATGGGGTTTCACCATGTTGGTCAGGCAGGTCTCAAACTCCTGACCTCAAGTAATCTGCCCGCCTCAGCCTCCCAAAGTGCTGGGATTATAGGCGTGAGTGATTGCGCACAGCCACAGTTTGCTTTATATTAAAAACTCAGTAAATCTTTCTTCTTTAGAACCATCAATCTCTCTTCTTTAGAACCAAGGAAATTATTAGCAAAGTTTGATAACTATCAGATTATCTTCAGACAATTAAAACTACTATTTGAAAATAAAATTATAACATAAACATTTAATGTTTTAAAACAAGGACACATTCTATGCAGTGAGCTGAAATTGAGCCAATGCACTCCAGCCTGAGCAACAAAGTGAGACTGTCACACACAAAAAACCCAAAAATCTTGTTAGGCTGAGCACGATGGCTCATGCCTGTAATGTCAGCACTTTGGGAGGCTGAGGTGGGCAGATCACCTGAGGTTGCAAGTTCGAGACCAGCCTGGCCAATACGATGAAACTCTGTCTCTACTAAAATACAAAAAATTAGCCGGGCGTGGTGGCGAGTGCCTATAATCCCAGCTACTTGGGAGACTGAGGCGGGAGAATCACTTGAACCTGTGAGGCAGAGGTTGCAGGGAGCCAAAATCACGCCACTACACTCTAGCCTGGGCATGACAGAGCAAGACTTGGTCTCAAAAAAATAAAAATAAACTTAAAAAAACCAAGGGCACACTCTAAATCTAGAGTAAAGCATATGTCCCCACATCATTCATAATAGCCCAAAAGCATAAGAAAAATGCTCACTGACAAATGGAAAAATAAAGTGTTACATTTATACAATCAAATATTTGAAATAGAAATGAAGTGCTAATACATATGATATCATAGAAAATCCTTGAAAACATGCTAACTGAAAGAATCTACTCATAAAAACCACATATTTTATGGTTCTATTTATACAAAATGTCCAGAATAAAAAAAGCCAGAAATAGTGAAAAGACTGACAGTTGCATAGGGCTGGAGGAGGGATTGGAAGAAAACAGAGATTGCTAATGGGTACTAGGCTTCTTTATGGAGCAATGAAACACACTGAATTGTATACTTTAAATGGGTGAATTGTATGTTATATGTATTATATCTGAATAAAAGTGTTATGTATTGTTTATTTCATTTTAAACAGTTCAGTTAATAAACAATGAAGAACCAGCAGCATAGTATTTTTTATGAAAATAGAAAATAAAGAGAAAGAACTTGTACACTGGTGAGGTGGTAACAATGACTCTGTAAAGTGATCTTCCATTGGCTCTAATTTTTTTTGAGATAAGAGTTTTGCTCTTGTTGCCTAGGTAGGCTGCAGTGCAATGGCACAATCTCGGCTCACCACAACCTCCACCTCCCGGGTTCAAGCAATTCTCTTGTCTCAGCCTCCTGAGTAGCTGAGATTACATGCATGCACCATCATGCCAGGCTAATTTTGTATTTTTAGTAGAGATGGGGTTTCTCCATATTGGTCAGGTGGGTCTTGAACTCCCGACCTCAGGTGATCCACCTGCCTTGGCCTCCCAAGGTGCTGGGATTACAGGTGTGAGCCACTGCGCCTGGCCTGGTTCTAATTTTTTATTGCCTTAGTTATTTTTTATACATCTATATCAAAACAAATAACAAGAGTCATTTATATCACAAAGAGAAATTATGATATATTAAATTTATGATCCAAACTTTCTCATAGGACTTATGCCAGTTCAAGCTTATGACCATATTAATATTATGAAAATGAGGACAATCTGAAAGCCTTGTGAAATCTTACACAGAAAGAGCAATGCTTAAAACATCTGGCCTCCAGAAGGCACATTCTTGAGACCTGTTACTTTCATCACTAATAAGCAAAAATTCCATAGCTCAAGTTTTAATGAAAAGGACATAATTTAAAAGATTTCTTGCTTTCAGGCAACTCAGTGTGCCCCTAAAGAAGATAATACAAGACAGTGAATCAGATCAAGACATAGTTTACATTAATTACTGAATTCTACAATCTTCAAAACACACCATGTAGAGAAATAGCTATTAGTCCAGGGACTATACTGTAATGAGTGAACCATGAGACTTTTGCTGGCCCAAACTACAATGGCTACTTTGGGGTTTTTTTTTTTTCCCCCCTCAGACCGAGTCGCACTCTGTCCCCCAGGCTGGAGTGCAATGGCACAATCTTGGCTCACTGCAATCTCCGCTTCCAGGTTCAAGTGATTCTCCTGCCTCAGCCTCCTGAGCAGCTAGGACTACAGGCACCCGCCACCACACCCAGCTAATTTCTGTATTTTTTTTTAGTAGAGGTCGGGTTTTACCATGTTGGCCAGGTTGGTCTTGAACTCTGTCCCTCAAATGACCCTCCCACCCTGGCGTCCCAAAGTGCTGGGATTTTAGGCGTGAGCCACTGTGCCTGGCCTACAATGGTTGTTTTACAAAACTGAATTGAATAAAGGGATATTCACCTTAAAAAAAGGAAATGTATTTGTGATTTAAGAAAACTGAGCTGGGCGTAGTGGCTCACTGCAGCCTCCACCTCCTGGGCTGAAGCCATCCTTCTACCTCTACCTCCAGAGTAGCTGGGACTACAGGCATACTCTACCACACCCAGCTAACTTTTGCTTTTCTTTTTTTGGGTAAACACGGGGTTTCGCCATGTTGCCCAGGCTGATCTTGAACTTCACCCTGGGTGACAGAGCGAGACTCTGTCTCAAAAAAACAAAAGACAAACAAACAAAAAATGAAACAAAAAAGATTTTAAGAGCCCGGGCGTGGTGGCTCACGCCTGTAATCCCAGTACTTTGGGAGGCTGAGGTAGGTGGATCACGAGGTCAGGAGATTGAGACCATCCTGGCTAACAAACCCCGTCTCTACTAAAAAAATACAAAAAAATTAGCCGGGCGTGGTGGCGGGCGCCTGTAGTCCCAGCTACTTGAGAGGCTGAGGCAGGAGAATAGCGTGAACCCGGGAGGCAGAGTTTGCAGTGAGCTGAGATCAGGCCACTGCACTCCAGCGTGGGCAACAGAGCGAGACTCTGTCTCAAAAAAAGAAAAAGAAAAAGAAAAAAAAAGATTTTAAGGTTAGCCTCTCACGATATGAAAGAGACTCTGAACATAATTTTTATTAAAATAGTCCTCTTCTTCCCTACATTAACATTCCCCAGATGCAATGCCCTTCTATTCCTTATAATGTTGGCAAAGTTTGTTTCAAAGTTTCTTATTCAGAAAGTTAGAAATGGAGAAGAGTTGGCCGGGCGCGGTGGCTCACGCCTGTAATCCCAGCACTTTGGGAGGCTGAGGCGGGCGGATCACGAGGTCAGGAGATCGAGACCATCCTGGCTAACACGGTGAAACCCTGTGTCTACTAAAAACTTCAAAAAATTAGCCAGGCGTGGTGGTGGGCGCCTGTAGTCCCAGCTACACAGGAGGCTGAGGGAGGAGAGTGGCATGAACCCGGGAGGCGGAGCCTGCAGTGAGCTGAGATCGCGTCACTACACTCCAGCCTGGGAGACAGAGCGAGACTCCGTCCCCCCCCCCAAAAAAAAAGACATGGAGAAGAGTTAGCAACTCTGGTTGTGGCAGTTACTCATTTAGTAATGAAGTTAAAAAAATTTTTTTCTCTTTAATTCACTTATAAGAATGTCATGAGGCAAACATAAATGAAGATCTTTTTTTTTTTTTTTGAGTCGGAGTCTCGCTCTGTCCCCCAGGCTGGAGTGCAGTGGCGGGATCTCAGCTCACTGCAAGCTCCCCCTCCCGGGTTCACGCCATTCTTCCTGCCTCAGCCTCCTGAGCAGCTGTGACTACAGGCGCCCGCCACCGCGCCCGGCTAATTTTTGTATTTTTTTAGTAGAGACGGGGTTTCACCGTGTTAGCCAGGATGGTCTCGATCTCCTGACCTCGTGATCCGCCCGTCTCGGCCTCCCAAAGTGCTGGGATTACAGGCTTGAGCCACCGCGCCCGGCCGAAGATCTTTTAAAGCATGGATTTTGTTAGGTCTTTTATTATTTGGTATCTCCCTCAGAGAAGGCAGACCTCATAGATATCATAAGTTTACTATATGAAATTTGTTTTAATGTGTAACTGTAAAATCTTAAAGGTGTTTGCTGAAAATATAAAGTCAGTGTGATAAACATTAAAGCTCTACTATAGTGTAGATTAAATATGAAATATGCTAAAATGTAAGCAAAATACAGGAGTTCAACTTAAGATTTTACATTGAGCAATATGCTTTCAAAAACACAAAACCATTTTAAATATAAAGACTTAAATAGCCTAAAAGTAAAGGAGTGAAGGGATATATGACATATGACATGTAAATGCAAATCAAAAGAAGGTGAAGTAGCTATATTCATTTTGAACAAAGGACAAGGAAGATTATCAAAGATAATGAGGGACATTACATAATGATATAGAGGTGAATTCTCCAACACATAAATGTGTATGTGCCTACCAAGGGAGCTTCAAAATACGTGGCAAAAATTGATACAACTTTGAAATAAGTAGACAAATTCATAATTATAGTTGGAGATTTCAACAACCCTTTCTCAATAACTGATAGAACAAGTAAGCAGAAAATCAGTAAGTATGAAGATAAGCTGAAAAAGTAGTATCAACCAACTTCACATAATTGACATTCACAGAACACTCCATCCAACAACAAAAACATTTATCTATACATTCACTTCAGGCTATTCAGTGGCTTGGTTTGTATTCAGGTAGTATACATTAGGACTGATAGATAATATTTT